GTGTGTGTGTGTGTGTGTGTGTGTGTGTGTGTGTGTGTGTGTGTGTGTGTGTGTGTGTGTGTGTGTGTGTGTGTGTGTGTGTGTGTGTGTGTGTGTGTGTGTGTGTGTGTGTGTGTGTGTGTGTACATATATGTGATATTACCATGTTTATTTTTAGCTTGCGAGTCTTCATGCAGGTGAAAGTATAACCAAGCAACATGCCTAGTAGGAACGGTGGGCAACGCGTCCAAGGCTTCTCATATATATAATCTACTGCTGCGTCTGTCGTATTCTTGCTCGGCCTACGAAGCAAAAGTCTACGGTTTACTACACATAACATAACGTGAGCTAACAAAATAACGCTGGAATGGCTGGCTACTTGATCGATAGCATAAGCACTTCGTTAAACCGCCAACGTCAGCAAACACGCCCATATTCAAATAATCACTATGACCTGTTTTATTTGTTTAACAAATCTGAGCTTACCTTCCAAACGCTGTGACGGGTAAGCCATAGTGAGCAGATAGCAAGCCTGTTAGTACTATTGACCCCGCGATAGCAGCTAAGACTAGAGCAATTCCTAATCTTTTTCTTCTGCATAAAAATAACAATCTGACATGATTATCACTCATAATCACTATTTGCCCAATCAGAAAAGTCCGACCTAAATTTAAAATTAATAACTATGTATGGGCATGTGTTAAAATAAATCTCGTTGGTTGGTTGTAATTAATATGATGAGAATTATAAGTAATTAATATGAAAAGTAGCTAAACAAATGAAACAATATACAATATAGGGGACTCACGTGTGGAGAAGAAGAATGAAAAGTGGGCTAACAATGTAGCACTGGACGTCGACGGCAAGATACCAGCTCCAGCTAAGACACTGTGATATACAACACGTAAACCCGATGATATTCGATACAAGTGCGTTATAATACGTTACAGTAAAGTGTGTTGACAGTGTTTCTCGCGATGCGATGCTTTGCTGAAGGTGGATATTTATGCGTTCCAGGGAATTGCTTTAGCAACTGCTGCACCGTTACCATTGTAAGTTGCGTACGTCACTACCATAACGTTACAGTCGTATGTGGCTTGTTCAGTAGTTAGACTTACAACAGCCATACTGAGCCGTACGCAAAAGATTACTCTGAGAACCTTCGTTTGGAGGAGGTGTGTCCGTTTTGACATATATAAGCAATCCAAGGGAAATGGAAATGTGATAACACAAAAACGTTTCCACGGATTTCTTATGATGGCTGAACAACGCGCATGCACTAAATGTAAGAGTAGGTGAGAAATGATTAAAATCATCAATGAAACCATCGTCGGTATAAATTTATGAATCTCCAACATATTATTATATCAATTTATTTATACGATTCTAATAATTATGTTCTTGCGTGTTTATCGCACTGTGTAAACAATCACATGGAGAAAACGCAAATTGGAGACTTATTTTTACCTTTTCTTGTCCTTCAGTAGGGTAAAAGTTATTGATAAACAAAAGGTTTGTCCACCAGTTTCTTTTACACATGTCCAGGGTCATCTGGGGTAGAGCGTAAAGTGGTCCCTTCGCCATTCGAATCAGTAGTGTACACGCAATTAGAATCACAAATCCATAGAGAGGAGCGAGCCTGGAATGTGCCTCTCATTAGCTATTAAGTTGTGATTATGTATTAATAATAAAATAATTTATTTACACAAACATGTATACATATATATATATATATGTATATATATATAATGAAAATTAATTTTTAAGCAAATGCATCATATATTTAAATGATCACAAACATTGTTCATATAGATAAATCTCGCAAATGCGGTACTATTAATAGTAGTATTATTAAATCAAAAAGTGAATGCCGCGTCGGTTATAGCGGCGATGCGATCTGTTGAGGAGAACACCTAGACCATCGTTATGTCTACCTCCACCATCGATGTAGGTAAAACCTGGTCCAAAACCACCAATCGCCACAGTTTCCTCTAGTCTGCAGACGCTTTATGGTCCAGTATGTCACCAGAATTCCTCTGTTCCATAAAAAATGCATTACATGAGCTGTATTAACATATTTGTTGGATGTATACTTGCCATAATCAATGTTATATCTATTAGAAATTGTAAGCCTAACGTCAATCATATATGGGCATGTCATTAATTATATATATATAGGCGCTTCATTATATTCAAGCCAGTGGCAAAATTACTCACGACATGAGAAAAAATGTGTCTACGGCTACATCTCCATTTGTAAGAATCTGATAGAGGAAAGACGTGCTTCTTTTGAACGCTTCAAAGTAGTTATCCATAGCAGCTATAGACAAAAGTAAACAAATTTAGCAAATAGAATCTGTTGCGTTGCAATCTTTCTGTGAATTCTCAGACCATTACCAGTTTTTATCATAGTTGTAGGGTTTGTGTGAGTTGAAAAATAACTAACTTTAAGGAAGTCTAAATCTTCCCGGATTTTTCTATATTATAGGATAGAATCAGAGATGCGTTCGCGCATGCCCCGTGTTCGCCAAACGAAACAAGTTAACAAAACATTTTTTACGGCTATAGTTGGATGTAAAATATCTATCCTAATGTTTTTTCTTTAATAATTATGAATTCCTGAATTTCCTTATACTGTGACAAACGAAATATATTACTACAATAAAAATACACTTTCAAAATAGCGAGAACATATCCATGAGCGGCTTCATATAGAAATAGCACTAGCTGTCGGAGAAAAGTGAAAATGTGCATAATAATTGTAATTAACCCCAAAATAAACATAATAAATAAACTAATAAACTAAACACATCTTCGAGTATTCATACCCTTTAGCCTAATTAATGTGTAAACAAATTGGTCGCCATTTTGCATATATGCAAGTAATGTAATGATCGAATTAGCTTAATTTTATTTTGATCGATTCTTACGTTCCAAAACAATAATATAGCGCAAATATATGTTTCTTAGAGATGAAGAAATACAAAAAGAACGTATGTTGAGATTACATGGCTCTTAATTCCCTATATAGGGACAGACTTGAGATGTTCGCGAAATGAATTACTTACTAATCATGTACAAATGCGTGTGTAGTAGGATGATCCAAAACATGCTCAATACTCTGATTCCATGAAGGCTGCTAAAGTCATCTTCTGACTGATCCGTATTGAGCAGATGTTTGCCGGCAGATAATAGTGAAAACGCGTCCACCAGGGGGCTGTACAGATTCATTTGAGCTGAAAAAGTAGATACTTGCGTTGCGTTAAACTCGTAGTTTATCTACAGCTATACTTTGTTATAGCATCCTAATTCATAGCCCGTCTGGTGTTTGAAATGACAATGTTTCTTTTCAATAAAATGTATATTTTTGTACATAAATGATTTCGTTTATAGCACAAATTCCACGTTAATTGTTACCTTGGTTTGTTGTTAATTGGGCATTGCTCATCTCTGCACCATCTCTCGTTGGTTCGTTCATGACTTGTGGTGACCCACACGGGGACATATTGCTTTCTTTATCATTAAACTCCGACATCTCAAATCCATAATTAATATTGCCACCACCTACATTCTACTTGAGATCAAATAAAACATTCATTATTAGGTTTCTGAATGACCATTAACGAGTTTCGATAAATGTCGTATTCAATCCCAGTAATAATAACTATAACTGAATTAAATTGCTGATGAACTTCTTACCGCGTTCATGCTTTCAGATTCGTAGCTACACTGTCTGTGGACGTTTGATTGCTTGTAAGACCAACTAAGGTCTACTAGCGTGCCAAAGAATAGTAGAAGAAACTGTACACATATCCATGTACTGAAAATAATCATACCGGACATGGTATACGCATATTTACCACGGAAACATAATCGCATAAAAATCTACCATTAAAATATGAAATTGTAATTGTGCAAGTTTTACGCTTTTATTCGCAAGTTTATGATAAACCTCTAGCACAAATAGATGGATCCGTTAGCTATATAACGGTTCGCGCGTTAAGATAATTACTGTACTCACATGGCAATATACTCGCCTATATAAAATGGCGCTTTCTCCTCAAAACACGCTGTCTCTCCTGATAAATTCAAAGGAAGAACGATAGGAACTTTTGCCTGATCATCCGGCTGCAAATCCGCGTATTCTCTGGGTGCAATATCTCCCAGTGCTATAAGCAGCAATATAATGTTGACGAATTAGATCATTACTGTACCAAAATGGTTTTGTAATGCGGATAATGTTTTTAATAACATTGCTTACATGCGCGGGCTCACAAATTCAATGACAAAAAATACATGTATAATATATATTATATAAAAATATATTATTAATAATTTATAATATATATATATATATATATATATGGTTCTAGGACAAATACCCCTCGGACAATTACCCCCCGGACAATTACCCCCGGACATTTACCCCCCGGACAATTACCCCCCGTGCCATTTACCCCCGAACAATTACCCCCGGCCAATTACCCCCCGGACAATTACCCCCC